TTTCTAATGTAAAACATTACATCTGCGGATCGTCCCTGTCCCCAGTTATTGACTGTATGTATGCACCAGAGATTCGGTCAACGTATAGAGTGTATATATGGTATAGAGGCTGTTAATGTAAACCATTATGGCTTATTTCAATAATCGTTCCTTCATAATTCACACAATCACTTCATCCGACCATGTGAAAATTTAGTTGGTACATAATGTATACACATATATGAACGCACATACTGCATTAGCCACACAATGTACAATTAATTCCAGTTTGCCACAAATGTTTTATTTTTATCCGCCAATATTTAGTAATCAATTATTCAAATATTTACTGTATTTATCATAGTTTTTCAATTGTCTGAGATGACATTGAGTCGTTCGCATTATCTCGATATTTTATGATTAATCACCTGTTGATGTCTTAGTGAGTAAGACATGAATGGTAAATAGGCTGGCGGTAATTAACTATGCATTTGGATTTTATTAACAGATGTCAACATAGTAACGATGATCAATTTCAGTCATATCATAGTTACTAGTAATTGTTTACAGACGAGACGGAACCCACCTTTCTGTATTTCATTGTGTTTTCTATAGTTCAGAATTCAATCGTGAGGGACATGTTGTACAAATTACAATTTAAACGTGCGACATTTGGTGTATGCGAATTTGTTGTCGCTTGAAAATCGAATATTAACCGTAAATCGTGGACAGCATTCGTTCAGGGGTAGCTAAGGCAGTATTTTCAAAACAATTTGACATGTGAAAATATGCTCATAATGAAATTAATTGATTATCGTGCTAATTGCTAATGGAAATTTGGTATTTAGCGTCAGATATAACCTATTGTATCTCAGCTGTAAATATGCGTTCAGGTACATATAAGGGGCGGCCAATTATTTGTGAGGGGGCTAAGCCGAGAGCGAAATCTTCCACAAATCTTTGTAATCACTGCGTTCTTCTTCTTCTTGTGTATGCATGATATATATTATTATACCTCATGACCATGAGAGCCAATCAGATTACTGTATTAGAGGTTGACATTTTTTATGTCTACCTCTTGCCATAATTGTATGTCTACCTCCATCCAGATACTTTCCTCTTTAATTTATCTGATTTACGTCAATAACTTTTGAGGAGAACAAGATACGCGGCAATATTTGTGAACTTATTGGTTTGCCAGGTTTACGTTCACTATTTGACTATCTTATTGGAGAGAAAAACTAGGATTTTGTAGCAATTTCGCGTGATTTTAGTCAAGCTTGTGCGACATTCGATCTGTGATTGCGTAGTTCGTCAACCTAAGTAATCTGGGAGTCGTGGGCTTTGCCGTGTGATGGCATTGTTTTGTTTGACTTTGTTTTGTTTTGTTTTACGTATTTTGTGTGTGACATATTATGTACAGTGTATTTGTTGAAAGAGAATGGTGGTGACATAAACCTATACTCAAGCAGTTTGTAGCTCCATGTGCAGCTCGTTTCAGTGTTCTACATGTAATGCGAACTGGGACGCAATGTAGCGTATATAGCTGCGCACAGGATGGCGCTGGATGTTGTTGCAAAAATCAATTCTTCGTCAGGCTGAAGCTGTTGATATTCATTTATCAAAACAAACATGAAAGTAAAAAGGCGTCCATGATAAAACTTAATAGAATTAAATCATTTCTATTGAACTCTTTAAACTTGTATACTTGTATTCATACATGCATTCATCTCTACAAGCGTGAACTGAAGTTTGCCATGATTGAGTGCCACAATTTCTGTTTTAAGATTTATTTGTTATAATAATACAAATGTACACCACAACAGAGGTGGACATACAGTTTTAGCGACCCGAAGCGAAGCACATTTGTATAATATCAGACATATATGTGAACTTGTGGCAAGTCATCGGTGTACATTGGTACGTCATACTGATCATCCACGAGACTACAATCGGTGCCGGTGAATGTACGGAAAACATATTATGCAATCAATTACTTAACAGTGGTAATACCTTTGAATGTAAAAGATATCTAAGTATAAAATTGCAGGTCGTAAGACCCAATCCCATCACGTCAGGTTCCGACAAAAACCATGCACCCACCCTTTACATACGAGGATAAATTATCATAGCACATGGTGATATGTGATCAAATCGAATCATATTATAAACCCATCGTCACATTCCTTCCCGTGTTCAATGCGTCGAGTGAGATATGTTGCACTTACCGATGTGTTCCCCGATGTTAACAATGTCTTCAACGGTGATCGCCGATTCACGATATTTATTAAGATTGCAAAATGTTACTGCTGGGAATTCCATTTGCGTTGTGTAATTTACTTCCACCTTGGTGACGTGGTGGTAGTTCACGAAATAGATAATACTAGATATACACTGGTAAAGTAACAGGGCCACACTCCCCAAGAAAGCCACTAACCAAACTAGTCGACGGAGAACACCACTTCGGCTGTTCGCCAGGTGTTTTACACCATGTACGTCCGCTGTTTCCAGTGCGAAGTTCCTCAGGGTTAGCTGCGGCATGTCCTTGTTATTTGTTATTTTGTTACGTTAGACTATTGTATAATAGTAACACGGTTCTAAATTAAACTTCCATGAGACGATCCGATAAGTGGATGTAACGTACGCGATTGTAAACCAATGTACTGTGACTTCGCCGCTTGCATCGAGCGTTTGTGAACATAACCAGGTATGCATTGTACTAATGTATACACCGTGGTTGTAGGTTATTTAAATAATCGATTTATTCCGTTATGTACATTACCGCATGTTGACACTATTTTAACGTTTATAGTCAAATTACCGGCGTCGTATTCCGGATCTCGCAAACACACACGACGAGCGGTGATAACGTCAATCGGAATCAGTTTGGGTATCACAAGTCCGTGGGTCGTCCAGTGGTTTATGTAAACATTGCGTTGTCACCGTTGAATTTTGGTGATGTACATTTGTATGTAACCGTAATAAGTAATATACAAATAGTTATCTGACACACTGAATATTAATGTATAATTAACATTCCAGAATTGTGTCATGAAAACAGAATTTCAAACACGTCATAGTACATCCACCGTGGTTTGAGGTGTACTTTAACTTGTAGATGTGTGTCGGCGTAGGTAGCATGCAACTACGTCATATGGAAGCCGTCATAGCCGACGAAGAGGGCGTCGAAGTACGAACACAGTTGACAGCTGCATCACAATAACAGACACGAGGATCATTGCTGCTCTCCAAATGGGTCCCTTCTTTTGTATTGACCCCTAAGGATTGCTAATTCCCCATTTCTAACTCTTCCCCCCCAAATAATATATCACCCTTTTTAGAATGTATTGACCCTCTAATTAATGAATGATTTCGCATAATTTAAAAAAAAAATTGCATGAAGTGTAGGTACGTCTTCTGGAACTATGCCCAGTGGGTTGTTATTTTCACTTCGTGAGTAACTTTCTGGTTTATTTTAACATATTTTGGTGCTTTTCTTGCCTCTGCCTTGGCAAGGTGGTCGGCGACTAAGATGGCTGCCGCTAACACACGACCATCTTCAACGCCAACAAGTCAGTTAATGAGAAATCATGCGATAACGTGTGACGGCCTCTCGCATGAACCGATCTGTCAATGTGTTTCTATCTAATGTCTCATGGGTTGATATGGTCTCTGTACTAAATCCAGCACTAAAACATGTTAAGTCTTTTCGCCGCCAGATTTATGTTATGTTGCTTTCCAAGGTTAAACATACAACATTTATGTTTCATCCGATGAACTGACTTGTTTTTCATGTAAGATGAAGGGGCACACACGGAAAACATGTCCAAACTGACAAAAAAAAAACATTTTGGAAATGGAAATGAAACCCATTGAACGCACTACTACCCATAATGCACCGCCCTCGAACATCTACACTGAAAAGAGGGAACTTCTTGCATGCCTAGTTAAACACTGGTCTTGCTACTCTTGCGCGACATGAACGAAAATGATTTTGGTAACTCTTTCTTTTTCCAGTTAAAAGACGATATTTCATCTCAGGCGCCAGGATAACACACTCACTGAAAATCAAACTGTAATTCGCAAACTCATACATAATTTTTACAAGAACCTGTACACACCAGATAACATCGATGCTCAAAATAACATTTTGGAAGGCCTACCAAAGCTCAGTAAAACCGACCGTGATGATCTTGATGAGCCAATAACGTTTGAGGAAATGAGCGTACGCCATTTATTGATGGTATACCAAACGAATTTTACCAAACGTTTTGGCATATTACTGGGAGAGATCTGTGTGAAGTTTTTACTGCTGCCATCAACGATAGTGCGCTCCCTGTATCTTGTACCAGAGCAGTTGTTACTCTCCTTGCTGAAAAAGGTGATGTCACCAATCTAAAACACTGGCAATCTGTGAGTTTGTTATGCAGTGATTATAAAATATTCACGAAAACGCTTACACTGCGACTGCGCGGGAACATTGGCAATATTGTTCACCCAGACCAAACTTGTAGTAGGCATATTCATATACGTAACTAACTCTCCTTTGGCCATTGTTGCCCTAGACAAGAAAGGGCATTTGATAGAATAAGTCATAGCTATCTCATTAACACTCTTTATGCTTTTGGTTTTAGTGACCGCTTTATCACCTACGTTTATCTCATTTATACCCATGCCCAGTCTCTGATTCGCGTAAATTGCGCCCTCACTGCACGCATAACAGTGGCTAGGGGTATTCGACAAGGCTGCTCAATATCCACTGTTATAGCTATTGAACCACTACTCCAGAAAATCGGAAATGATAAAAATATTGAGGGGTTAGTCATACCACACACCATTGTAAACTGCTTATGCTGATGATGTTGACATGTTCATAACTTGTAAACATGATTTTAGTTCACTTGCTTACTGGTTACAAGTATATGAGCGGGCATCAAACTAAAAAATAAAT